GCACCTTAAGCTACAGTCTTAATCATGATATCTCTCATCGTGATCATGATATGCCCATCAGCTTTAGTTCTTTCCTCGAGCAAGTTATCAGTTCTAAAAAGCACTACGGCCCTGATCAATTCACTCCAGAACCTCCCGACCACAACCGACTGATCAGAATTAAGATCTTTTGGCATGCCCTCCTAAAACATAATGGATTAATGGCCTCTTTATTTACTCTTTTGGATTTGATTCAGTTTCTTTTAGAACAATAAATTTGGTTTAATTGTTTCTATTGATGATTAAAAGTTTCTGCAATGCCACAGTTTTTTTTTTCCGCTTCATGAAAAGCTCACAGATTGTGCTAGTAACGATAAAGCCAGGGGAATAACCACTTCTTTTACAGGAAAATATTACTTCTTGATATGTAAAGCTAGCTAGAACTGATCAAATTAATCAAGTAGCTAGATTGGAAACAAAACCGGCCATTGACAATTTCATATCCTTGACAAGGAATGCATGATTTAACTAAAGAAATAACACCCAAGTGTGTGTGCAACCACTGGTCAGTACATTGCCAAAGTCCAAAGCTTTCATGTCACCATGAGCTTGATTGAGAAGATTTTATTTTGAAAGAATGTCTTTGCGCGCATACAGAAAAAGAAATAATAATCTAATTGATCGTTTTATAATCTTGACTTGATGGCGACATGCCGATAGACCTCAAATTCAACATATGTAACAATCAAGATTCGATGTTTGATAATGAAATGAAGAATGTTATCATCAAAAAGTTAATTACAATTTTTATTCAGTGGATAAGAAAACACCAAGCCATCAAGTGTGAGCAAGAAGTTGTTCCTGCCAAGTTGCAATCATGATAGAAGGGTTTGTGTCAATGTGAATTTTCTTAAGAGACAAGCCAGGGCAAATCTTGCAATATAAAAATTACTTATGAAGTCACATAATTAAACCAAACGTTTGCCCCTAACAATTCACCTTAAAGTTGGGGAGGGAAAGCTGGGCAAAAAAGATTCATGTGCCGTCCCTGGATCTTCATTGATACATGTACACCATGATGTAAATCGTAATGGGAAGATGCTTTTAGCAGCAAGGGCGTTGGGGTTTGTCTTGTTGTAAACCACCATGGCTCTTGGTACTTTCTTAGAAAACCATGGTACTCGATCGTGAATACAAACCTCGTTTTTTTTTACTGGAAAGGAGTAGGGAAGTATGATCTCAATGGAAATAAGAGAAATCTCAAGGAAAAGATTCAGATGAGTGCTTAAAAAGGTGTGGGGGGTGTGAAGACCCTGCACGTAAGATTCTGATCAAGCTCCACTGAATAGTGTTATTGGCCTTAAAAAATGAGTGATTGCGAAGTGGAATGTTGAATCATGAGCTAGAATGTGTGTATGTTTTGATATGCTTTTTTTATATATATAAAAAAACACAATCTAGCTGATGCTGCAGCAGCTTTCAAGAGGTTTTCCTGAAAAAACAAGAGAGTCCACATTATATAACGAGGGAAAGGTGCCCATCCCCTATCTCCGTGATGTGTATGCGCCATCTAATTGTAATGTTATGGGACTCTACAGTCATGTGAAGAGCGCAGAGCTTGGACAGAACTGAAAAGAACCATTAAGTACCACCAAACACACCAATAAAAATGGAAAGTAGTGAGGATGCTAACAAGAAAGGTAAGTTTATCTGACCAATAGAATATCATAAAGAATTTGATATGGCTTGCACAAGCTATACAGTACCCATGCCAAGATACCACCTTAAAGAAATGATTATGATACATTTCTGCTGTAATTAGGGTCATTTTTTGTGCAAGATCACTGGTCATTTTGGACTCACTTCTGATCACAACAACAGCAATAATTAAGGAGAGCCTTCTGGGGTAAACAGCTAGAGTCAGGACCCGGAACCTATGGGTCTGTTGCATGAACTGTTGTGTTTCGGGACATCATGAGATCACAGATGACTCCAGGAAAAAAATTGTTTGGGTTACCAAATAGTAGTTCTCAAGCCTGCTTCTGTCCGTCACACAAGCACGAACCTGGACCTAAGACCAGATTGGAGTAAGAGATCCATTCGAGGAACACGGGGACTAGTTGAAGTAATGAGCCCCCCAAGATTGGGAGGCTGTTCATATCATCGATTTGGTCAAAATCTGGTGGGATCAAATTTTTTTTTATTTAAAATAATGATTTCCTTGATGATTTTGTGTTAAGCAAATATTAAACTTCTAAAATCTTGTCAATAGCTAATATATATATATATATATAAAATATATTTTTTATAATGTCGATTACATGCGGCGTTGAGACCATCATCATCTCATATGTTAGTATTTAGATAATTAGAATATAAAAGAAATAATGATTTTTTATTTTTTATCTGTAGAAAGAAAAAACAAGAGTTGTCACTTAATATTTTGATCCTTAGAAACTTTAACTGGTTTTAAAATTTAGATATGAGGACTGATTGTGTAAAAAAATATATTAGTAATCCAAATATACCTTACCTAAAATAAACTATATTATTTAATTGTTTGATGTATGTTAAGGTGTTATTGTGTTTTTTAATTTTTAGTTTGTTTAAGATTTAAGAAAAATTCTTCTCAGTAAGAAAATTCTCATTTTATCAGGTAAAAACCTAACCGTTCTAATATCTATATATATAAAAATATTTTTAATATTAGAAATACATCTTACATATAAATTTATAATTTTAGATATTAAAATATTTTCAACTTTAAATAAGAATATTGATGTAATAATGATTTTCGAATTCAAACAAGAATATACAATTTTGACTTTAAATAAGTTACACTTAAAACATTTGAGAAAACCTTTCTAAAGACTATTTATTATGTAAGTGGTTTGATAATTGTTAATCTACAAGCAGTGGTGATGAAAGGTCTTCAATCTTGTTCTTATAAAAAAAATTATAATAGGTTTGTTCATGAGTTTGATTCGGGACCCATAAAAGAATTTAGTTAAATTCAAAACCATAAAAGATTCAGAAAGGTTTTTAATCTTTGACTTGTTAAAAAGATTATGTAAATGTTTGGTTTCACTTGGAAAAAAGAATATTTGTGATAGCAAATACTTAAATTATGGCTCAAAGAGAAATGTAGGAGATTGTTCAAACCTCTATAAAACATATATTTTTTTAACTTTATTTTATTATTTATTATGTTGATTATTTCAATACATTTTTAGAATCTATTTGTTAGCTAAAACATAATTTTTTTTAAAAAAATAAATTATTTTTCAATGTTTGATAGTGTAATAGAAAATAAATTGAAAAATACTTTCTAGTATTTGGTTATGTTATGGAAAATAAGCTGGAAAATAACATATTAATATTTTATTTTTTTTAAGTTTATTAAAATAATGAGAAACAAATCTTACAAATTAAATGTTTGATGAGAATGGAATTAAAAAAAATATAATTTTATAAATTATCTCAGATAAAATAAATAATAATTAAAATAATATAGATCAAATCTAAAAAATACAAAATTGAAAGATGAAGAAATTAAACTAATAATAATTAACATTTCATAAATTATTTTAAATAAAATAAGTAACAATTAAAAGAATGAGGACCAAATTTTATAGATAAAAAATTTCAATTAATAAATAAATAAATAAATAAATAACAATTATAAAATTGAGGACTAAAGTTAATATACAAATTAAATTCTAAGGAATGAAATTGAAGAACAAATATTCAAAATAAAATATATATAGCAATCCAAAGTTTGAGGACCAAATTTGATATAATCAGTAAATAGTATGATATTTTTAAATTTTTTAAAATTTATAAAAAATATTTTCTATTTAAAATAAAATAAAAAATACTTTTATAAAAACCAAATCAATTTTTTTTATCTAAAAAATATTTTTTTTAACCGAATAATCATCATTAATTTGCAACCAAATTCAGCCCCTCCTCACCTAGACTCTCACCTTTCACTTATGGTATGCTTTCACAATGTTAATTCAATTATACTTCGTACAAAAGTCAAGTATATAGTAGCCTTTCATTTATACTTTCACCGCCCTGTGTTGACAATGTTAATGAAGTATGTTATAGTAGCAAGTGAAAATCATACGCTTTTTTTTTTATTAATATAAATGTTCAGATCAACTTATCCGCATCAGTTTTCACTATCTTTTTATTACTTAATTCAATTATCCTTCGTACAAAAGTCAAGTATATAGTAGCCTCTCATTTATACTTTCACCGCTCTGTGAAGTATCTTATAGTAGCAAGTAAAAATCATATGCTTTTTTTTTTTTTATTAATATAAATGTTCAGATCAAATTATCCGGG